AAAATCCCCTCCATGCCCAAGAGGACCTCAGCACCGCAAGTAGCGTAGATGCAGCATGGAACCCGTGCCATACCCTACCCATCATGCCAGTAAACCAGCAATCTGGGATAGCAACCTCACATCTGCCGAACTACCTCGGTGGACAAAAGATGGTGACCGGATATCCGCCACAAAGCATACCTCCTTCAGCCACCACCCCCAGAATCCGAAAGGTGGCTTCCAGAGATACACCCATCGCCAGACACACCCAAAGCCACCCTCCGGGATACCCGAGAGATTGGGACATCCCCAGGCAATCCAGATTCCACGGCAAACTACGCCACCGCCAAGAACCTCAATGGAATGGGATGGACCCCGGTACCCTTTCCCCTACCTAGGAACTAGCGTGCCTGTGGGAAAAAATCCCAAAGGCCAAAAAGGAAGGGCAAAAGGGAGTGGTGGGGAGGAGGAGGAGGAAAGGAAAAAGGGGAGGATGGGATAGGGAAGGGGGGTAATTAGGTTGTGTCTGAGGAAGGAGACCGATAGGTCTAATTCCTCAGACCTAGAGCCTCTTCACCACAACAAGGAGCCCCCCTTGAAGAGGCCAATGTCTTGCAACAGAGGACGGGAGTTCACAGCTGTTGAAAGTTAATCGAGCCACATTGCAAGGGTATCGTCTCCACCCACGGGCAGGAAGGACACAAGTGTCTACTTTGAGGTTTTGGAGATCCTGGAGTTCCAGCTGTTCAAGAATGTCATTGCCACAGGTCTGGAAATTCTGTTGGACTATGGTATGGGGGCAGAATGACAGTACCACTACAAGAATTGAGAGAATGATGTTTTTCAATAGTGATAGGAATAGTATCGATATGTGAAAGGAGAGAAAGATCATGAGCTTGGGTAGCATTCTGGACAGTGACAACATGCATACTGCTTGAGAGCATGAAATGAAATATCTCTACCAACATGGCATAGGAGCGCTTTGCCAATACTATGGTCGGAAAGATAGGCAATAGAAAAAGTCTGTCGTAAAGTAAAGAATTTAGTCCATTGTGGGGTCCAAAACTGAGCATGGAGAGGGAGTGCATGATATGTCGGTCTATTCTGAGTAGAATGGGAAGGTAACAAAGTAACATTCGAAGACTGTTGTTGGCATTTAGAAGTGAGACTAGAGTTGGTCCGACGTGGGATGGGCTGGCGATTCGAAAATTGCTGCACCATAGAGGGAGAGGCTGGAAGCATAGTCAAAGGAGGGCAGAAGTGAGAAACCAGAGGAGTCAGTCTAGGCCCCAGTACCTGAAGCTGGTGATGAAACAGCACCAGCAAGAGGTACAGGGGCATCAGGAGTGTCCGAAGAGTGGTCAAAAAACGAGGTAGGGTCAGAACAGGGCATGGTATCAGTAAGGGGCCCAGGGGTAGCAGGTCCATGGATGAGGGCTTCTTTTCATTAGGTTACTTTTCATTTTAAGAAAAAAGTAAAAGGGGGAAAGGGAAGGAATAGTTCCCAGGAGGAATGAAAGGGCCGGAAACACCCTTTGCACCCAAGAGGACCTCAACACCGCAAGTAGTGCAGATGCGGCATGGAACCCATGCCATGCCCTACCCTTAATGCCAGTCAACCAGCAATCCAGGATAGCAACCTCACATCTGCCGAGCTACCTCGGTGGGCGAGAGGGGGCCGGATATCACCACAAAGCATACCTCTGACTACCACCCCTGGAATCCAATAGGTGGCCTCCAGAGATACACCCGTCGACCAAAAGTCACCCAAATCCACCCCCTGGAAGACCGGAGAGGGAACGGGATATCCCAAGGCAATCCAGATTCCATGGCAAACTACACCACCGCCAAGAACCTCGATGGAATGGGATTGACACCGGTACCCTTCCCCCTGCCTAGGAACCAGTAGGCCTGTGTGAAGAATCCCAAAGGTCAAAAAGAGGAAGGGAATAAGGGGGGGATGGGGTGAGGAGGAAAGGAAAAAGAGGCTGGGGGATGAGGTGTAATTAGGTTTGGTCTGAGGAAGGAGACCAACAGGTCTAATTCCTCAGACCAAGAGCCTTTTCACCACGCCAAGGAGCCCCCATTGAAGAGGATATTCCACTGTAAAGAAGCCTTGATTTGCAGAGAGAAAGATGCAGAAAATCTGAAAGTAGAGGTATCTACGGACTAGTAGGTTTAATAAAGTCCACATGTGAAGGCAACAGAAAACTTAAGCATCGAAGAATTGGGATGCTGCTAAGAAAGGAGTTGTGCAGATGGATAAGAGTGAAGAGGAATAGGTGGAGTATCAGTGTCCATCAATGGTCTAGTCTCAATATATTCTGAGAGAGCTGCAAGTGTTTCAGAGGACAAGAACATTGTATGTGGTACCATAATGTAGGTGGAAGGAGGATGAATAAAGATTGGAGGGGGGGGGACTATGGACTGTATCAAAGTAGGGGGACACAAAAGGGGCAGAGTGAACTAGAGAGGAAACTTAGGAGGGGACAAAAAAGGAAGTGACCTCAGAGGGGCAGAAGAGGAAGAAACTTGGGAGGGGACGGGAAGAAGGTACTGTACAAGGAGGAGGAACCTCCACACTTGTTACAGCCAGTTAGAGGTGAAGAACTGGGTACAGAGACTGGGAAGGAAAAATGAGCAGGTTGCAAAAGGGAAGGAGGGAGTGAAAGGAGATATAAACAATGGGATGTTTTGGACTTCGGAGAAGGGTGATGGGGAGTAGGTGTTGTACAAGGTCTTTTAGACAAATTTGCAAATAAGAGGTGACAATGAGGTGCCGAGGTAGGTACCTCCGAGTAAAGGACAGCAAAAGAATTAGAGATGGGTGTACCTGTGGAATGGGTGACTAGAGGAGGCTGCAGAAGTTGGGACCCCAGAGGAGGGGGGGAGTTTAGGAACTCGAGAATAAGAAATACGAAGAAGTTTTCCTTGGAGGCATAAATGAGACTACCATAGCATACGGGAGGCCTTCGGCCTCTGAGAATGAATTTCACGCTCATTTAAGTAAACTTGTTAACAGCGAAAGTAAGATGGGCGAGCCTCACGATAATTAAGGCAAGAGGGAAGTAGACTACAAAATGTAGTGATATGGTAGTCGGCACCACAGATTGGGCATTCAGCCATGGACCTGCAATATTTTGGTGGGTGACCAAAAATGCCAGCAATTTCTACACTGTTGCAGTGTAGGGATCACCTTTCCAGCTTTTAAATGGTGTCCCACTATATATACAGAGGACGGACGCTCACTGCAGTCGAAAGTTAAGTGAGCTACATTGCAAGAGTATTATCTCTACCTGCAGGCAGGGAGGACGTAAGTGTCTACTTTGAGGATTGGGAGGTCTTGGAGTTCTATCTTTTCCAGAATGTCATTGTCACATCTCAAAATTCTGTTGGACAATGGTATGGGGGCAGAATGACAGTACCTCTACAAGAATTGAGGGAATGTTTTTCATAAGTTATAAGAATAGTAACGATAGTTTTAAGTTGAGAAAGATCATGAGCTTGGTTAGCTTTCTGGACAGTGATGATGCATGCATTGCTCTTGAGAGCATGAAAGGATACATCTCTCCCAGCATGGCATAGAGCGCCTTGCCAATACTATGGTTGGAAAGATGAGCAGTAGAGGAAGTCGGTTGTAAAGTAAAAAAACTTAACCCATTGTGTATTTTGAAACTGTGTGAAGGGAGTGCATGAAGTCTCTCTTTTCCGAGTAGAATGGAAAGGAAGCAAAGAAGTATCAAGTAAAGGTCTTTGGCATTTAGGTGTGGGACCAGAGTTGGTCTGACGAGGGATGGTGGGCAATCTGAAAATTGCCGCACCGTAGAGGGAGAAACTGGAAGCATAGTCAAAGAGTGGAGGTTAGACATCGAAAAATCAGTCGAAACCTCAGTACCTGAAGCTGGTGACGAAACGGCACAAGGAGGTACAGAGGCAATAAACATGTCTGAAGAGTGGTCAAATAACGAGGCAGGGTCAGAACAGGGTGCAGTATCAGAAAGGGGCCCAGGGAGAGCAGGTTCATGGATTGTGAACTCTATGGTTAGGTCACTTTCATTTTTAGAAAAAAAAGGGGGGGGGGAAAGGTGGAGGAATAGCTCCTAGGAGGAATGAAAGGGCTGTAAATCTCCCTTCGTGCCCAAGAGGACCTCAGCACAGCAGGTAGTGTAGATGCGGCATGGAACCCGTGCCATACCCTACCCTTCATGCCAGAAAACCAGCAATCCGGGATAGCAACCTCACATCTGCCGAGCCACCTCGGTGGACAAAAGAGGGCGGCCAGACAACCACCACAAAGCATACCCCCTATGGTCACCTTCCCCCAGAATCCAAAAGGTAGCCTCCAGAGATACACCAGTCCTCTGAAAAACACCTAAAGCCGCCACCCCCCTTCCCCCCTGGAAGACCGGAGGGGGATTCGGATATTGCCAGGTAATCCAGATTCCACGGCAAAGTACCACTGCCAAGGACCTCAACAGAATGGGATGAACTCCAGTACCCTTCCCCCTACCTAGGAACTAGTGTGCCTGCGGGAAGAATCCCAATGACAAAATAGGGAGGGAAAAAAGGGGGATGGGGAGAAGGATAGGGAAGGGAGGTAATTAGGTTTGGTCTGAGGAAGGAGACCAAAAGGTCTAATTCCTCAGACCAAGAGCCTCTTCACCGCACTAAGGAGTCCTTGAAGGTGGCTAGAGATTGCAACAAAACAGCGGTTCTCTGAACCATTCATCTACAAAACAGCGAGAATGTAATACCCCTATATGAAACGGGACCGCTGATCGTGAAGCACAGTCTACCTGCTTGTGGCCCTGAACAACATGACCATGAGGAACTAGACGAGGCGAATTTATTTTTTAATAGTTTGTAGAGCACTAAAGTAGTATGAAACTACCACGAATGTTGAGGAAGGCCAGAAGGTCCAGTTCCTCAGACCAAAAGCCTCTTCACCACATCATGGAGCCTCCCCTGAAGTGGTAGACCAGGGCAAAATACTAAAGCAGGATATAAAATAAGGCAGGATATAAAAGACTTGATACTTTTATTGAACTCACGACAAATGTCGAACCTGATGCGAGTCTTCATAAGCTTTTAAACCTACAGTCAACATTTAATAGAATTTTTACCAATTCCTATGTACGAAGGAGCTTGTTAGTTTATACAATTAAAAACATTATTAAAAATGGATAAAGTGTCACATCAGACAGCATTTTAGTAGATGATTATAATCCATAATATTTAGCATAATCTTTCAATAAGAATGCTTCTTTGCTATGTTTTATATTCCTGGTTGTTGGTTACTCGCCATTCTGACTACCTACATTCATAATGCAATATTTCACAAGTCTATACTAATAAAAATTAGTTTTTATCCAAAATTACACTAAAAAAAAACATTAAACCCAAATATGATTTTGTACACTGCAGTCAGATAAAAACGTTATCTAAGTATAATAAAAAAAAAAAACGTCCATTACTATAATTTCTCTATCTTTGCAGACCTAAAATACCTTTCTTATTGTCTATCTCCTCTGTCAGAATCAAAGGTGTTCAAGGTCTTATGTCGTCAGGATTATGCTGCTGGACCAAACCTACCTTGACAACATTCCAATAAGCTAAAATTAAAAATGTAACACAGTGGACACGAAGTTTTGACAGACACTCCTTTCTCCATACTTTATTTTTGATCATTCATAAAAGTATTAAAATGAGTAGAGTTCAGTGTTAGCAGTAAACACTGATTAGAAATAAAAATTAAATTTATACATCTTAAAGTAAGCTCACAGGCTAAAAATTTAAAAATTAAAATTTGACGAGAGTAGGGCATGCTGGATAATTTCACACTTCACAAAATAAAAATTTAGATTTAAATTTAAAAACATTTGATGAGTAACTTTCATTCACTCTTTGGTGTGCGAGTACTCTCATTGCTCAGTTAATCCTATAATAATTACTCTTCATCGAACCAAAAATATATGTATAATTATAAATGAATCTTCCATAATTTTTTTTTCTTTTTTACCATCAGTAAAGTTGTGTAATACGACATTCCATTACTGAGCAGCTTGCTATGTGCTCGGCTTCGCATCTTTCAGAAAGCGTCCATCTTCCTTCGTCTAAAATACTGTAAAAGAAATTATGAAATTTGGTGAATACTTGACCAAATAATGATCAAGTGCTGTGTGGCAAGCTAAAGCAGTCATATGACAGTCTATAAATCCTACATTTATTATAAATCAGTCACCTGTCCTGCTGAAGAATAGGCTTAAGTAAATGCATGTTTTATTATAATAAAAAAAGAATCGCTAAACCACAAGGGCTGCACGTTTTGTTAGGTACCAAAAGGACTAAATAAACCTTCATTGAGATCTAAAACGTAAAATACATCTCAGAAGAATGACACGTTAAGCAGTGGAATACAATCTACAAGCAGGTGACTGACTGAATGTGTCCATTCATCAATCTCTGGATATCCTTGTTCATTATTCTGGTTTAAAGAGCCTTGCTAAACTAGCTAGCTGCTTTATTAATTCCAAGAGATTGCTACCTCCATAGAATATACATTAGTGCTGGATTGAGCAAGATGACATTGGTGAAGAGGATTCAGGGAAACATGTTAGCCGAACCTTGTTCCTTACAGTGGGAAGAATTTAATGCACCCTGAAGAATGGGTGGGGATGTTGTATTTCACACTATCAGATTATTATTATTATTATTATTATTATAATAAATAAAAAAGAAGTGCTAAGCCACAAGAGCTATACAGCGCTGCAGGTTAGGGAAGGAAGCAAGGGTATCGGGTGGCAGAAGGGGGGGGAGGGACGATTAGTAGGTTACAGAAAACAGCATGGCAGGGGATAGTGCAAGGGTCGAGGGTAGCAAGAGTTAGGTAGAAAGGGCTGAAGGGATCAGAGTTTGTGGAGTAAGTCGGTTGTCAAATAGTCAATGAGAGTCTGGATGAAAGGTGGATCCATCAGCGAGAAGGGAAGGTAAAGAGAGCAGCAGAGCAAAGATGACCGAGGTAAATTCTGCGTGCTCGTTGATAAAGTGGGCAGTCTAACAATGTGGCTGACCGATAATGGAACCTGACAATTCTCAGAGGAGCAGGGCGCCTCTCCACAAGAGATCCACGAGTAAGACGAGTATGGCCAATGCGAAGGTGGGAGAGAGTAGTCTCCCAACCTCGACACTGGTGACAAGATGGCCAGTAACCTATGCTCAGTTTAATAGAACAAAGTTTGTTATTGAGCAGAGTAGACAAACATTGTTGCCATCGAGTGTGAAGGTAAGTAGCTATTACAGCAAAATAGTCCAGAAATGGAACACCTCTACATGAAATTGGTAGATCATGTACTGCTGACTGCGCAGCAGTGTCTGCCTGTTCATTGCCCTGTACGTCAACATGACCAGGGACCCAACAAAAAACTATCTTCATGCTTGGTAGAGATACGATGTAGCCAAAGTTGTATACGGAGAACTAGAGGGCGAGGTGTATCAAATTTCTGTATAGCCTGTAGAGCACTAAGGGAGTCAGAACCACAAATGATGACAGGCATAGATGCGATACAAATAAGTGCTGCAAGAATGGCATACATTTCAGCAGTAAAATTGCTAGCCAAAGATAGTAAATGCCCTCGCACGACGCTGTCCGGAAACACTGCTGTGAATCAGATGCCATTAGAAGATTTAGAGCCATCTGTGTACATGGCAATGGCATGAAAAAGAGTCAAAGTGGAGAAAAAGAGCGGGAAGCCACCGTAGGCAGTTGGGCTTTCGAGCAAGGGAGTGAGAACAAACAGACCTGAATAGCTGGAACTTCCCAGGGGGGTAGGGAAAAGTGAGATGCTACATGAACATATAAAGGCGGTAACTGAAGGGAAGACTAAGAGCGAATGTAAGCAAAGAGAAGGGACGGAGCAAACGGGCGGTGAACCAATAAAGAATGTCTACTAATATCAGTGACCATTCTATAAATGGAAGGTTTGCAGAGATCACGAGAGCGTACATAGTAGCGAAGGCAATGGGCATCAAGGCGATCAGACAAGGATGGAACATTCACTTCTGCATCGAGGCTCTCAACAGGGGAAGAGCGAAAAGCACCAAGGCATAAACGTAATCCTTGGTGATGGATGGGGTTAAAGCTAGAGAGAGTAGCAGGAGAGGCCACTGAAAAGAGCTGGTCACCATAATAGAGTTTTGATAAAATGAGGGCTGAATGTAGGCGAAGGAGAGTTCGACGATCAGCCCCCCCCCCTCCCCATGAAAGATGAGCAAGGGTTTTAAGAAGGTTCAGCCGGCTGTGACAAGTTGCCTTTAGAGGTGATGTGGAGTTTCCAGGATAACCTACGGTTAAAGAGAAGGCCTAGAAATCTGATTATCATGTTCAGGGATACGGGAGCCATCGAGGTACAAAGAATGATCGGAGATGTCAGAGCATCTAGTGAAAGTAATTTGGCGAGTTTTTGTACTGGAAAATTTAAACCCATTCGCGGTGGCCCAATTGGAAACCACTGTCGACCGCATGCTGGAGAGAAACTAATGAGGTCACAGTCAGCACCTGCACAAGCATTAGTGAAGTCATCTACATAGTGATGACCAAATATTGGATGGAAGAACAGAGGCCAAATCATTTATAGCAGGAAGAAAGTGATGTGCTCGAATATCCCTGATGGACACCTTCAGCTTGGACAAAGTCTGGGGAGAGCGCATTATTGACTTGAACACGGAAATGTCTGTCATTTAAAAAGTTCTTAAGGAAAGATGGTAGACTGCCTTGGAGGCCTAAGGAGTGGCCTTTCGCCAAAATAATATACCTACAAGTTGTGTCGTATGCCTTCTCAAGGTCAAAAAATATGGCAATAACCGAGTGGTTATTCACAAAGGCATTACGAACATATGTATCCAAGCATGTAGTAAGGGATCTATGGTAGAATGGCCCTTGCAAAAGCCATATTGACGAGTGGAGACTCGTGTGTCTCTAAATACCACACTAAACATCCATTTACCAGACGTTCCATCACTTCGCAAACTGCAATGGCAAGAGCGATGGGTCGATAGTGGGAAGCTTAATGTTCCATAGTACCCGGTTTGTGGAAAGGGAGAACAATGGCAGATTTCCACAGCTGTGGAAAAGCTCCTTGTGACCAAACAAGATTGAAAAGGCATAAGAGGACTGCAAGGACTGACTGATTTAAATTTTGTAACATAGGAATATGAATGTCGTCAGGCCCAGCTGTCGATGATCGGCAAGCTGAGTGTGTTTCCTCCAATTCCTGAAGTGTAAAAGGGACATTATACTGTTCTTCTCTGAGAGAAGAAAAGTCCAAGGGTGTTAACTCTGGCAGACAGGAAAGAAACGAGGGGCAGAGATGGAGCCTCAGGAATATGGACAAGATGATTGCCAATTTCAATGGCAACATCTAGAGGGTTTCCTATATCAACACCGGAAACCCGCAGAACAGGAGCCGGGTCAGGAGAATATTTACCACTCAGTTTGCGTACTTTTTTCCAGACTGCACTCGGAGGAAGAAGGGGTGATGGTGGAGACAATCTCGCCAGCAAGTGCGTTTAGCGTGATGGATGACACTGCGAGTGATTACCTGGAGTTTACCTGGAGAGAGTTCCGGGGGTCAACGCCCCCACGGCCCGGTCTGCTTCTGCTTAAAATCAAGAAGTCTCTCAGTGCTTCTATTTTACAGGTACCTGCCCCACGAAGAACGTTTCAAACTTACTGCACGAGCACGAGCAGACCACCAAGGCACGCATTTCTGAGAATGCCTGCCTGAGGTTTGGGGTATAGAATGAGAAGCTGCGGTTAAAACTGAGGCCGAGAAGAGGTGTAAAAGCTCATCAATGGAGGACGAAGAAGGAACCTCACTAAAAACAGTTGGTTGTGAGTAAAAGTCCCAATTTGCCTGATCAAATTGCCAGCGTGGGTTACGAAGATGTGGTGAATACGAAGGGGAAGTAAGAATGATTGGAAATGATCGCTGTCATGTAAATCTGGGAGAACAGACCAGGTGAAGTCTAGTGCAGTGGAGGAAGAGCAGACAGATCGATGCAAGAGTACGAGGATCAAAATGAGTGAGAGTACCTGTATTTAAAACATGGAGGGGGGGGGGAAGTAAGAAAAGCCTCTAGCTGAATGCCACGGGAATCACAGTAAGACACCCCCCCCCAGAGAAAATGATGGGCATTAAAATCGCCAGGCAACAGAAGTGGTGACAGTAATGACAAAACAAGAAAGGCAATATCTTTAATAGATGATGCTCGAGAAGGAGAGAGGTACAAAGAACAGTGTATACCACCTATACAGGTGGATATGGGTTGCTGTGTAATGCAGCGAAGTACGAACAAATAAATGTCAGTGCATAGAAGGGCACTTTCGTTCAAGGTCCCATCAGGAAAAGGATCCGAAGAAAATAGTAAATTATAGCCCGAGATGGGATAGATAACAGCAGAGTAATTTTGGTTCTTGTAAGCAAACACCAGCAGGGGAAAATTGGGAGAGCAACATCTGAAGTTCACCCCGATTACCCCTGAGGCCGCATATATTCCACAGGTAAGGGTACTTACGGACTAAAGGGGTTAGGAAAGTCAACATGTGGTGGCAGTGGAAAATGTTTAAGCAACGAAGGAACGGTGCACTGTGAAGAAAGGAGGTGAGCAGATGGAGAAGATGAAAGAGAAGGAACATGATAATTCTATGTAACTGTATTGTGTATACCTGAATAAATTTACTTACTTACTAATCAGTGTCCATTGATGGTTTGGTCTGCAATATATTCAGAGACTGTTTCAAGTGTTTCAGAGTTCAGAGATGTCGTATGGGAGACAATATTGGAGATGGAAGGAGTAGTAGTTTGAGTAAAGATTGGAACTGTAATGGACTGAATCAAGGGAGAAGGGGTGGTGAAAGGGTGAGAGAACTGGAGAAGTGCAGGAGGGGACAGAAGAGGCAGAAACTTGGGAGGGGACAGGGCAGGAAGGCACAGTACAAGGAAGGTGAACCTCCATACTTGTAATAGAGCCAGTGAAAGGGGAAGGCCCAGGTACAGAGACTGGGAAGGTCAACTGTGGAGGTGGATGAAGGGAAGGAGGGGTTAAAGGAGATTTTTTTGGACT